CATTTTGTGGTTATTTTGACTGATTTATTTTATTTAATTTTATTATTTTGCATTTTAATTTAAAATAAACTATAATTAAACTCTTTCTGATGTAAATTTCATGTTTTTATTTACAAATCAATAATAATAATAAGCAATTTTTAATAATTTTGACAGCTGCTGTGACGTATTTGATTGTAATTAAATATTTGATTACAATCAAGTTTTGATTAGCGTTCGAACAATTGGCCCTTAGTTTTGTGACGGCGCTATTATAAATTCAGCTTAACCTAACAACGATTTTAATTTACGTATATAATTTTGTTTTTTTCTTCATAGCTTTATTAACTTTTATATTTATAAAACAAGACATACACTGTCCATATCTCTTCTGCTTTTATTAGATGTATTTTTAGGTTAGTTTAACATGAAACTGAAGAAGAGAACTCATACAAAAACAAAAAGGAAACAAAACAGCACCCTACTTTAACCTATCTGTTCCTGCTCTTATGTTTATGCACTTTCATTGCAAGCTTTAGCATAGAAAGGAGTTGTTCTGCTTACTCTCTTATAATAGGAAATACAGGATTTCCTTTGAACTTGGAATAACTCCTTCAATCTTTTGTGTACTGTTTATGTGGCTTTTATATAATATGATTCTTTAATTGGTAGTGGATTGCTATATATAGTACTCAGATTCTCAATTTCCGCTCTTTTATTTAAGGTGTTCTTTGTGGTTTTTATTAGACACATTTCTTAAAATAATCTTTTGTTGTGACTTCTTTCCCTCGCCAATATTTTTACTTGGACATAGTTTGGAGTGTGACCCATGGTAACTGAATGTTCACTTAATGCACAGGCTTGTACTTTGTTCAGATTAATGTCAATTTTTGAAATATAAATCGTTCTGACATGTTTCTGGATGTTTCTCCAATATAAACTTTGTTTCAATTATTAGTGGGTAGAGAGTATACAACATGGGAGCTTTCTTTAATGTTTAAGGATGTTTTTAGATACCGTTTTTTTTTTTATTTCTAGTTCCAATTTTGATATTCGGTACTTCTCTGAACGTATTTAAAAGTCTATTTGTTGGTATTAAGCCTGGAATGTATGGTATAGAGTGGTACACCGTTAGTTGGTTGTAAATTGAGTCCTGTGTTTGATATGTCATTTTCACTGTTCAAATACCAAAAATAAGTCGGTTCATAAGGTTCGCTGAGAATGAATTCTCCAACATGACCGTTTTTAATTTTGTAAGTCCAGAAGTTCTATATTTAGGATGTGATAAGGTTATAACTTTTTATTGTTCTTAAGCTATTTTCTTGTGGCATTTTAAAGCAATTACTATTTTAATGGGAATAAGCCACAATTGAAGGTTGAAGTAAGTGTATTGACGTTTTAAGTGGAAATTGAAACGTCAATATACTTACTTCGCTTGTTTGTTTATTGTTTCTCTCAACCAATCACTGGTAACTTTATTTTACTTTTAAATATTATATTTCAATCTTAATTTATTAATAATGTTACCTAAGCTCAAAATTAAATTTAACTAATAATATACTGTTGGAAGTGCATCTTACGATCTTTCTTGTTCTCTGCATATTAATTTTAATGTTTTTTACTTAAATTTTTTACATAAATTTTTTATATACATGTACAATTACCACATGTTCTTTTGCTGTGTTAAGTTTGTTAATTTGTAAACTGTATCTAGTTTCAATTATTTGTTTATACAACATGATCTCAGAACGTCCATTGTAGTAAGCTTTTTTACACATTTAATATCATTGACTGCTACATGTCTTTTTGAGGTAACACACTTGTAATAACTTTTCTATGGATGTTTGATTTTTCATACTGTTCTTTTTAGATGAACTGATGATGCTGTCTGATTAGTAAGCGAAACGTCTTCAATAAATAGATGAAGTAGCCACCTTCTTTGTCTTTTTTCTCCACCTTTTGACCAAAAAACCCACTACTCTTTGAGTGACCCTTAATTTATATTGGATTGGCGGTCGTAAAGGTATTGGATTTTGACAAGAGCTATGAGTGATGCCGATTTAGTACACAAGTTTTCCTGTTATTTACAAGGTCACAAGCTCTTGTCACAAGGTCACAAGGTCGCAAGCTCTTGTCAAAATTCATTAGCTACACTCCTTTTCTATATGTATATATATATATATATATATATATATATATATATATATATACAGGGTGTTTAATTAGTGTGAGGAAGCTCAGTAGATCTGTTAGTAAAAATTACAAAAAAAGTTATTAACAAAAATTGTCGGCAGATTCAACCTCCACATTTTAAAATTAGTTACAATCTTACTGCACGTTCCATAAGATGATGGTAAACAAATCTTTTGTTTTTTTTAACGGGACATCCTGTATTTTATTTTAAATTTGACTGCTTCACTTTCACATCACAACAATGTAAAGTTTTATTATGTTATACCTACCGGTTATTTAAAAAGTTATAACCAATATTACCTGAAGATCGTATCAAGTTTAACGCCCTATATAACTAAAAAGGAGTATAGGAACATTGATCTATTACAACCATAGTTTTTTAATAATTGTTAAAAAGTATAAAACATATTCGTTTTCATAATATTTGTTAAATCAAATACAGGGTAAGGCAAAATGCAAGTACATTATTTTCTTGGGAATTTTAAATAGAACACCCTGTATTTTATACCACTATCGAAAAGTACTAATATCGTACTTCAACTTTTATATAGTACTCCCTATAACTAAAGTTATCAGTATTCTATTATTATTTTTCCATCAGAGTATTAATTTGGTAGATATTTTAACGTTTACCAATAATTATTGTGAGTTTGCCATGATTGATTTATCAGAAACTGACAGATTGACATTATTGTTTATTAATTCAGTATTGGGGTACACCATAAATTAGCAAAAATTATTATTTAGTAATTAAGTAATTAATTCAATTTAAACTAGCAATAATGAATTTTACTACTGATGAAATGGGAGATATGATCTAGATATTGGGGGAATGCAATAAAAATTCATTAGTATCAGCTAGAATTTATCAAGAACGGTTTCCAGATATACCTAGACGATACATTTGAAAAATTGAAAGATCGATTTAGCCGCACTGGTTCAGTGAATTATGAAAAACATGAACGAACAAAAACTAGTATGACACAGAAAAACGAAATGAGTGTGTTGATGGCAGTTACAGAAAACCCACACACAAGTAGAAGAAGTATTTCCAATGAACAAGAACTTAGTTACTACTCTGTCCAAAACATTATATCTAAAAACAAGATGCACCCTTATCATATTCAAAAGCACCAAGAATTTGATAAAGATGATTTTCAGAAACGAATAGTATTTTGGGAAAGGGCCTTAGAAAGAATTAATGAGCAGAGAGAGATTTTTTTATTAGGTCCTATTCGGTGATAAATCTACATTCCATCGAAACAATTCTCTAAATAGGCATAACTTTCACTACTATTCAACAAATAATCCATACCACATAGTAAACATAGTCAAACAAAATGGTCTCTACATGTGTGGGGAGGTATCGTCGGTAACCATGTAGTAGGACCATATTTTTTTGAAGATAACTTAAATGGTGAGATTTATTTAGATTTTTTTTTAATTGTGACGTGATTAATTTGTACGTGGTGAACTTAATGATCAGTTTGGTGAAGGATGGATCGAAAGGAATGGACCGATAAGGTGGCCCCCAAGGTCACCAGAATTTAATAAAAGGGACTCATTTTTTGGGGTTACGAACGAGGTATATAAAATACCTCCAACAACAAGAGATGATATGAAAAATAGAATCCGAATTGCATTTCAAAATATTTCTTTACAAATACTTAGTAATGTAAGCAACTCTTTCAATGACCACTTTCAAGTATGCATAGATGTTTTGGGAGGTCATTTTGAACACCTTACTTAAGTAAGATAAGTTAAAATTACTGTTGTTCTTTATTTTTCTATGTGTTGTTATTATTTTTTTTAATTTTCCGTCGGTTATTTTTTATAAATTTTATTTGAAATAAATTGTTTTTATTTCTGTGTCGTCATTTCGTTACTGAATTAATAAACAATAATGTCAAACTGTCAGTTTCTGACAAATAAATCATGGCCAACTCACAATAATTATTGGTAAATGTTAAAATATCTAACAAATTTTTACTTTGATGGAAAAATAGAAATATCTAGAATACTGATAACTTTAGGTATAGGGAGTACTTCATAAAATTTGAAGTACGATATTAGTACTTTTCTAAGTAAAAGATATTTACTTGCATTTTGACTTACCCTGTATTTGATTTAACGAGTATTATAAAACGAATATGTTTTATAATTTTTAACAATTACTAAAAAACTATGGTTGTAATAGATCAATGTTCCTATACTCCTTTTTAATTATACAGGGAGTTAAACTTGGTACGATTTTCAGGTAATATTGGTTATAACTTTTTATATACCCGGTACATAATAAAACTTTAAACTGCTGAAGTGATGTGGAAGTGAAGCAGATTTCAAATTTAAAACAAAATACAGGGTGTTCTATTTAAAAAACATAAGATTGGTCTGCCACCATCTTATGGAATATCCTGTAAGATTTAAACTAATTTTAAAATGTGTAGTTTAAAGCTGCCTACAATTTTTGTCAATAACTTTTTTTTGTAATTTTTACTATAACAGATCTACTGAGCTCCCTCACACTAATTAATCACCCTGTATATGTATATGTATATATATATATATATATATATATATATATATATATATATATATATATATATATATATATATCCGCTTTTTATTCGCCTATAATAAGAATATACGGTGTTAAATTCTTCCATTCTTCTGTACTCATATGCAGCTCGGATTTATACAGTTCGAGTCTGCGAATTTTTTGAGGTCATTAGCTCATCGCATGTGTGATCTTCGTTGTTCTTTCTTATGTTTTCAATATCTGCATTGGACAATTCCAGATCCTACATAAAATAAATAAACTCACTTACCTGGCTTTCTCTAATGTCGAAGACTGTGAAGTTCCTATAGCCCCGAAGCCGACACCAACAGCCAAACCCTCTGGAATATTGTGGACGGTAATGGCGACAACCAATAGAATAATTCTCTTCCACTGGCCTTTTTGGATCTCCTCGATGTTGCAGTCTTCCGTTTCGTCGAAACTCTGCATACGAACTTTATCTTCAATATCTTTCTGTACTACTACAGACTTTATACCTACTGCAAAGGACAAAAAAAACAAAGTGTAAGATATTTTATTTTGTTTAATTCAATATTTAAATTATTCGTCTACATTCTTATAGGGTAACTATTGAGAAAAAGAGAAAAATGGAGCACAAAATATAATCACTACAGGAGCAATGCGACTTTTTCCAAGTTAATTTGCTCCTGTTATAACTTGGCTGGACCGTAGTGATGACGACCGAATAGTCAGAAATACGTATTTACGGTTACTTTCCACCTTTTTATGTATTTTCCTTTGTATTGACATTACGGGTTTTTTGCCAGTAATTTTCCCTTATATGTTTATACTAAAACTCGCCTAATCAACACTATACATAGTATACAAGGTGCGGCAGATAAACGGCCAATTAGAAATACCTCGAGAACTAAAGGCAACTGAATCATGAAAATTGGAATGAAGGGGTATTGAAGAGTGACCTTCTTCTTCTTCAAGTGCCCTGTCCGGTGCGAACTTTAGCTATTCATGGCAATTTTGATCTTGTTTGCGGCGCTTCTGAATAGTTCGACCGATGTGAGCCCGAACCACTTCCGAAGATTTTGGAGCCACGAGTGTCTTCTCTTGCCTGGCCCTCGCTTACTGTCTATTTTTCCCTGGACAATCAATTGTAGCAGACGGTACTTATCGTGTCTCAATATGTGGCCTAGATATTCAAGCTTTCTTTGATTAATTGTATTCACGATTTCTTTCTCCTTTCCGATTCTTTGGAGTACCTCTATGTTGGTGACATGTTCGGTCCAGGATATACGAAGAATGCGTCGGTACACCCACATTTCGAATGCTTCTAGTTCTCTCGTTAGCGTCTCCATCAGCGTCCAGGCCTCCACGCCATACAGCAAGATCGGAAAATGTAGTAATTAACTATACGTAGTTTTAGGGGAAGAGACAAATCCTTGCTTATGAGGAGCTTTTTCATATTGCTAAATGCTGCTCTAGCTCGTTCTATTATCGCCTTAATTTCTATGGTCTGTTCCCATTTTGCATTTACGTTGGTGCCAAGGTACACATAAGATTCTACATGGTCAATTAATATGTTACTTATCCGTAATTGTCGAACTGGTTGTTGCTTTTTGCTTATCAGCATCCACTTTGTCTTCTTGAAGTTGAGGCTCAGGCCGTATTCCTCACTAACTGAATAAAGTCTTTCCATTACTTGTTGTAATTCGTCTATGGTACTGGCAAGGATCACTGTGTCGTCGGCGTATCTTATATTGTTCGTTAACTCGCCGTTTATTTTAATGCCCTCATTTGCATTTTCCATACATTTGTTAAATATTTCCTCGGAATACATATTGAATAGGAGTGGGGATAATATACACCCCTGACGGACACCTCTTTTGATCTGCACGCTTTCAGTGAGTTCGTTGCCAATTTTTGCTCTTGCTGTTTGACCCCAGTATAGGTTTGCCACAATTCGAATGTCCTTGTTGTCAATACCTGTCTTTCGCAGAATACCTATCAATTGTTCATGATTGACATTGTCAAATGCTTTTCTAAAATCTACAAAGCACAGATACACGTCTTTATCAACGTCTCTACACCGTTGTATAAGCACCTGGAGAGCGAAAATTGCTTCTCTAGTTCCAAGTGCTTTCCGAAAACCAAACTGTGATCTATCAATATTTGACTCACATTTATCATATATTCTTCTGTGAATGATCTTAGTGAACGCTTTGGTGACAAGATTTATCAAGCTTTTAAGCCGGTAGTCATCACAAATCTGGGCATTTGGTTTCTTCGGGATTGTACTAAATGTTGACTGTAGCCAGTTCTCCGGGATTTTACCGCTATTATATATGTTGTTAAAAAGTACAACTAGATTATCAAGGAACTGTTTGTCTGATTTACATAGGATCTTTAATATTTCGCAGGGTACATTGTCCGGACCTGCTGACTTATTGTTTTTTAGTGCTGCAATGGCATCTTCTATCTCCGATTTAAGAATTGAAGGTCCTGTTTCTCCTTTTCCATATAGGTGATCATCGATTTTAGTTTTTTGTGCATATTGTAACTGTCGTATTTTCGTTCGTATTGTTCTATTTCCCTGCATTCTTTGGAAAACCATTTTTCTTTGGCTTCTCGAATTTTCGTTCTTATGGTTTTGTGGATCTGCTGGTATTTTTCTGCATTTTTATTCTTGAATTTACGTCTTTCATCCATCATATCCATTATCTCATCAGACATCCATTCTTTCTTTTTTCGTCGGTCACGCTTTAATAGAGTCGCGCATGTTGTTTGGATTGCTTCCCTCGATTTATCCCATCTCTCTATTATGTCCGACGTGTTCTCGTTAAGGTCCTTTATTTTCTTTCCTAGTTGTTCTCGTACTTTTATTTCGGTTTCTGGGTTAGTGAGTTTTTTAATATCGATTGTGTTTAAATTAGATCTTTTCTCGACCTATTTGATGAAAATATTCTTATCTATTTCCTACTTCCAGTTATACAGTACGGTAATTAGACAGAAGAGAGAACGGAAGACACTCAGTCTGGTTTCAAAAACGAATAAGGAACAGGAGAGGCACTTTTTTGCATGCACTTATTGGTGCAGAAATGCCATGACCAGAGGCGATATGTCTTTATTTGTTTTATGATTACCAAAAATCTTTTGACAATGTAAGACAAAATGTGTTAATAAAGGCGTTAACGGAGATTAGTCACGATGGAAAAGATATGAGGATGATCCAGCGGCTGTACTGAAATCAAAAAGAAGAATGAATGATCCTTAACGGTCTATATCCAGAACAAGTTGAAATAAGTAAGGGCGTGAGACAGGGCTGCTGATGCTGATGATATAGTTAATACATTGGGAGAGGAATATGGTGGCATCATTAAAATCACAAAAAACGAAATTAATGATAATCAGCAGACAATCCCATATACAAGCACAGTTAAAAATAAACAACCAACTTATAGACAAAGTTGAGAAATTTAATAATCTTGGAACTATCTTAAACAGTGAGTACAACTGCGAAGAAGAAGTGAGAATACAAGTAGCAATAGCTTCTTCTCATGGCGCCGTCTCCTTTCGGAGGTTGGCGATCCAAATGGCAATTATAGCTTTGGAAATTGCTGCACATAAGATTGCAGATGCCACGAGTTCTGGCATCTGCCTACTGATCTTTTGCCCTATATTTTTCCTTCCAATATAACTTGAAGTAATTCATATCTTTCGTCTCTCAGCACATGATCCAAGTACTGTATTTTATTCTCTTTGATTATTCTTAGTAATTTTTTTTAAAATCCACAAGGAAAACAATTCCTGTAGCTGGCTGTATACCACGTATCACAAAAAAAGAGGTTAGTCTTTGTAAGTGGGTATATTTATTTAAAAACCCTTAAAAGGGCTACATCAAAAAAACAAACGTTTTCGGACTAAACAGTCCATCATCAGGTTTAAAATCTGCCTAAAATAAGTACAAACCATTTAGTTAAAACAAACGTGATTATGAAATTTTGACTATGGTTAAAAAAGCAAAATGGTTATACTTACTAGGTTAAAATGCCTGAGCCACCAAAAATACATGGGTAAAAACCCTTTAAATTACTTATAGTTATAAAAGATTATACATCTTGTTGTTAAAAAACTGTGATGTGCATTATTAAATTAAATATGACTTCAGGTAACATACATTGCAAAAAGTTTTAGCTTAGACCAGAGTTTGAGTTCCAGAGCCGGGGAGAAAACCTCTACGCACGGAGAACAGCTGGAAACTGATTTACAATATACCTATGAAAGGTGACAAAAACAAAATGTCAATGTAACATAGAACTATATTAGTTATACCTAGTCTTACTACAGCCAAAAGATTCAAAAATTATTTTTGATGATTTTAAAAATAATAACAGCAATATAGGTGTTGGAATTTAAAATTTGGGTTATAATCGATGTGAAATCACCAATGGTGTTAAAGTCATGTTTAAGAGGATGACCTGTGTATTAGGCAACCCATGTTGCTTTTTGTCGTATGGAATATGGTCTAAAAGTGTATTTTATGTTAGATTATATAATAATATATAATAATAATTTTTTTTTTATTTTATTTTTTTTGTTTACACATGCGACGAAATACCTCAACATTAGTAACTCTTTGTACAAATAGAATTCTCAACATTCGTCTGTATATATACATCTCAAAGGCATCTATTCTTTTTTCTATTTCAGAGTCAATTGTCCAAATTTCACAGCTATACAGTAAGACAGAGAAAACGTAACATCTGATCATTCGGATTCTAAGCTGCAGACTAAAGATCTTGTAAAAAATGTTCTCATGTTCATGAAATATGTTCATGTTCATGCAATAGCTAGAAATACTTTTAATGCGATTGACAAATGGATTTAGTGTGAGCAGTCATATAAACCCAAACAAGCAACAACAACAAACACCTTTACCAAATTCAATAACTAAATTTGTCAGCAGGAAACTCTGACTTGTCTAAGCTAAACCGTATTGAAGCGTTCGAAATGTGGTGTCTCAGAAGGTTGCTTAAAATGTCATGGATCGACCATATTACCAATGAAGAGGTCTTCAACAGAGAAGGTGTTATATATTGTACATATTTCTAAGATATGACACTCTGACTTTGACGTACGTCAAGGAATCACCTCACTACTGTTAATCAGTAATTTTGTATTCGATCTTAAATTGTAAAATAAAGCAATACGGCATTACAACTACATATACAACAGTTTCAATAAGGCATTACAACTGCCTATACAACAGAGAGCTTCTAAACATCGTTAAACAGCGAAAGGTCTCATATATAGGTCATATTTTAAGAGACCACAAATACAATCTTTTAAAAATCATTTTAATGGGCAGAATTGAAGGTAAGTGGACCAGGCCGCAAACAACACAAGGTTCAGAGACAAGCTGGTGTGACATACCTAATTCTTCTTAATCGTTAACCTGATGCAGGTATCGTGATATCATGAAGCTATTAGTTAAATTTACCAATGTTCCTCCACGTTTTTCTATCTT